ATGGTTTCTGATTATGGGCCTCTGTACGCCTATGTAGATATTCCATAAAAAAATCAGCCGTTTCCAGATACAATAGCCATTTACAACATTAACAATGTCTACACTGTATTTCTGATCAATTTGATGTTATTTTAATGGACAAATAAATTGCTTTTCTTTCAAAAACAAGGACATTTCTAAGTGACCCCAAACTTTTGAACGGTAGTGTATATTTATTTATGCACGTGAAATGTCCACCATAAATGTTTTAAATAAATGTACTCATAAATGTTTTAAATAAATGTACTCATAGGCCTCCCGAGTGGCACAGTGGTCTAAGGCACTGCATCGCAGTGCTAGCTGTGCCACTAGAGATCCTGGTTCGTATCCAGGCTCTGTTGTTGCCGGCCGCGACCGGGAGACCCATGGGGCGGCGCACAATTGGCCCAGCGTCGTCCAGGGTAGGGGAGGGAATGGCCGGCAGGGATGTAGCTCAGTTGGTAGAGCATGGCGTTTGCAATGCCAGGGTTGTGGGTTCGATTCCCACGGGGGGCCAGTATGAAAAATAAAATAAAAATGTATGCACTCACTAACTGTAAGTCGCTCTGGATAAGAGCGTCTGCTAAATGACTGAATGATGAAAAATGTAAATGTTATTGATGTCACTTGTTAACCTCTATGGGATGGGTGTCCCGTATACCGGACGGTTGAGCTAATGTGCGCTAATGTGATTAGCATGACTGTTGTAAGTAACAGCAAACTTTCCAGGACATAGACATGTCTTATATGGGCAGTGAGCATACATTCTTGTTAATCTAACTGCACTGTCCAATTTACAGTAGCTATTACAGTGAAAAAATACCATGTTATTGTTTGAGGAGAGTGCAAAACAACAAACTTATCACGGCAACTGGTTTGATACATTCACCTCTGAAGGTAAATAATGTACTTACATTCAATAAGCTTGCTCTGATTTGTCATCCTAAGGCTCCCAGAGATCAAATATAGCATAGTTTTGTTTGATCAAATCAATTTTTATATTCAAATGTAGGAACTGGGTTCTACAGTTTGAACCCCTGCTGTCTCTGGCTCCACACCCACCCCGCCCGGCCATCTAGATGTGTGAAAGTTAGTGTATAAGCTAATGATCCATCATGTATGACATTCCTGGGAGTGTGTAAACTTACATTTGTATTACCATATCATTTTTGTATGTTCTCTATAGTTATGTACTTGAAAATGTATCAATTGACCAATTCAGCACATTTGGGCAGACTTGATACAAAATAGTCCAGTATTGCAATGCTTCACTGGATCAATCTGAAACTTTGCACACACTGCTGCCTGCTAGTGGCCAAAATCTAAATTGCGCCTAAACTGCAATATTATATTGTGGCCCTTCTCTTACATTTCAAAGATGATGGAACAACAAAAAACACATGTTTTTTTGTTTGTATTATCTTTTACCAGATCTAATGTGTTATATTCTCCTACATTAATTTCACATTTCCACAAACTTCAGTGTTTCCTTTCAAATGGTATCAAGATTATGCATATCCTTTCTTCAGGTCCTGAGCTACATTCAGTTAGATTTGGGTATGTCATTTTAGGCGAAAATGGGAAAAAAGGGTTAGATCCTTATGAGGTTAAATCCACTTCAATCAGTGTAGATGAAGGGGAGGAGGCAGGTTAAAGAAGGATTTTTAAGCCTTGAGACAATTGAGACATGGATTGTGTATGTGTGCCATTCAGAGGGTGAATGTGCAAGACAAAATATGTAAATGCCTTTGATCAGGGTATGGTAGTAGGTGCCAGGCGCACCGGTTTTTGTCAAGAACTGCAATGCTGCAGTCATTGTATTAGGCTATTGCAGTGAAGAGTGGATTGCTACCTACTTTTGCTATGAAATCATATGTATCCAGGAGTTCCACCAAGCCGCAAGTTTACATGTGATTGTGATATGTACAGTATGTTCAGCATTGTAATGATAGTGACATGTTGCTCATTAGACAACTAGTTGATGTCTTGATTGATGTACCTTTCCCTCAGAGCGAGTGTGAACAGAAAGGAGAGTCCTACTGGTACTCTGTCACTGCCTCTGTAGTCACCAGGATCGTGGAGAACATCGAGGTAAAATATCACATTCCTTTGGGACATGTCATTGTAATCCACTTGACTTGTGTTTAGAATCAGAACTGACTTTTCCCTTTGGGGTTTCTCTTCAGCTAAAGATACAAGATGTCCACTTGCGATTTGAGGATGACTTGACCAACCCAGGGAAGCCATTTTGCTTTGGTGTCTGCATCAAGAACGTATCTGCACAGAACTCTTCAATAGAACCGGTAACTTACATGTACCAGTCAGACATCGCTTGCCATATCAAGTGGGTATGGCTGCTCGGTCTAACAGTGTGTTCCTCCTTCTTTACAGGCACAAAGGCTCATGCGGCAAAAGCAACTGGAGATTAAAGAATTCAGTGTCTACTGGGACACAGTGTCTAGCATGTTGGGTGATCTCCCCGCCAACGAGATTCAGGAGGCCATGACCAAGTGCATGCAGAGCCGAGAGCACCAGTATATCTTTGAGCCGGTGTGTGCCTCGGTGCTGCTGAGGAGGAATGCCTCCAAGGAGCCTCTGAGGTCTCGCAACGCGCCCCGCATCGAGGGCCAGTTTCAGCTGGAGCCTCTATCTCTACGACTGTCACAGGTGCAGTACCAGCAGATCATGGCCTTCCTCAAAGAGCTGGACCGCAGGGAGAGGGAGATGATGTTCCGCCAGTGGAGACCCAAAGTCCCCATCATTGGAAACTGCCGGCATTGGTGGATGTTTGCCATCCAGGCCAACCTGAGTGAGATTCGAGAGCAGAGGCGGAGGGGGAACTGGGAGTTTGCCCTGTGGAGGGCACGGGACGCCCTGCTTTACACCAACCTCTACTTCCAGAGGCTTAAAGGAGCCCCCCTCAATCCCCTGGAGGAGTGTGAATTGCAGAGAGTGGAGGACGAGCAGAATCTGGAGGAGTTGCAAAGCCTTAGGGGAGTTGTCCACGACTGCTTCCGCAAACAGGAGGAAATCGCAGAGAGTGTGAGAGAACCTATCGCTGAGAGCCCACCACCCTGTTCTCCCACAGGGAGCTCCATCCCCAATAGTGGCAGCTCTGGCATGATCCAGTACCTGCAGTCGTGGTTCCCTGGCTGGGGCGGCTGGTACGGAGCCTACCCTGAGACGGGCCCTGATGAGCTGCTACCAGGCCCTGGCACCTGGGACATCCTGGGTAAGAACTAAGGGGCAAATTCTAACTTTCACTAACAGTCATAAATTGATGTCAATGGGAGACTGAACATTTGAAGTTGAAGTTAGGATTCAACCCTAAGAGCTTTTCTCCTGGATCGTTGAACAAAAAAGTATTGTGTGTATGTTGCCATTGAGTGAGTGTAGTCAAAATAATGGGATAGCCCTTTAATACGAAAGAGAGAGAAAATGCTATGTTGGAGTGTAGTACAGATGCACTCTCAGTGTCTTTCAAGGACCTCACACGCTCTAAATTGAAAATGGTTGCTTTTCCCCCCTCGCCCATTCCCTATAATTTGTGTCCTGCTGTAAGGGACGAAAAGTCACAGTGCCATATGTCTCACAGTCTGTGCCAACCTCATCAACCAGATCGTGTCCCTCTGTCTGTCCCCTGTACAGAGGAGGACCTGTTGGTAGAGCATGGCGTTTGCAACGCCAGGGTTGTGGGTTCGATTCCCACGGGGGGCCAGTATGAAAAAGAATGTATGCACTCACTAACTGTAAGTCGCTCTGGATAAGAGCGTCTGCTAAATGACTAAAATGTAAATGTAAATACCAAATGTGAGTGTGGTGTTCATTCATGACTCCACTACTGTCAACAACAGTCTTGTTCTCCCTGTGTCAGGTCAGGTGAGTTATATAATATATTTTATTTCCTAATGGCATGCTATTTTTGTGGTAATTAGTCTTAAGGACCTGAACCAAGGTTTCCCAAACTCGGTGCACGTTTTGATTTTTGCCCTAGTACTACACAGTTGATTTCAAATAATCATCAAGCTTTGATAATTTGAATCAGCAGTGTAGGGTTAGGGCAAAAACCAAAACGTGCACCCCTTGGGTCCCGAGGACCGAGTTCGGGAAACGCTGACCTAAATAAACTATTACATAATGAACACCAACTTCAGGATGCAAATTAGATAATATAACTATGTTGCATATGAAAAAGTAATTTAGGTAAAGAACCACCCAGGGCGTAGGGGGCGCTATAAAACCAACGGCCACCATAAAACGCCAATTTTCAGCCAGCAAGAGCGAGCGGCCATTGATAGAACAATGAGACAGACCTTTCACCGGATGTATAAATGTGATGCATCCGCTTTGCGTTTCCACTCACTACCAAATATGGTAATGAGAGGAAGCCCACAGGCCGGCAGTGGGAGAAGATGGAACGAGATTGATTTTGGCCGAATTTCTGCACATTTTCTCATCAATGGAACATTTTATCTCAATACAGTTTTCTGTTCCCAAAACTAGAATATGTTATGAACAGAGTGGACTACGTTTAGTAGACTTTACCCTTTGCAAAAAAAAATAATAATCGTGTTGTTTAAAAGGAGTGCAAAGGCGAATTTCGTTATTGCACACGCGCACTTCAGAGGTGGCGTTCCCGAACGGAAATATGCTGATGCTTGATAGAAATAGGATCCCGCTAGCTCGTGTTTGGCTCTGCCCATCTCACTTGTTCTGCCCATTATGACTCATTTGTTCCCATTGAAAACGGCAGGCTTTAGTCTATCTTGGTTTTAGTTATAAAAATCTTTGGAGCGGCCACGTTGTTAGGATTCCACTAGATAGCACAGCCACAAAGTCCAAATGGGCTACATCGTAAAAATTCACGAAAACTAACATTTGCTTTTTGATCATAATTTAAGGTTGGGTTTGATGTTAGCAGAGTGGATATGTTTAAAATCACATAAGATCAATTGTAGAAATAGGCGGAGTTTATGACTTTGTGGCTGTGGTAACTAGTGACGACCGCGTTGTTTTGTTGCTCAGACAACTAGCTAGTTAGCGGTGCTAGCTAGTAAACAAACAACTAAACTGAATATGGCTGGAACTTCATCAGTAGCTGGTGAAGTATTTGTAGATGCCCTACCGTATTTTGACCAGGGTTATGATGCAGCTGGCGTCAGAGAGGCGGTTAGTATCTGCGCCATACCATATAGGCATAGCTATCAGTTGCTAACTAACGTTAGCTAGTCTAGCTACAGTTAGTTAACAGGCAAGTATCTGACATAGTGCAATTCGGGATCCTTGGGACGTCCCTACACTAACCTTAACCATTTTACATTTCAATTTTATTATGAATGTACTGCTGGTGTACCATAACACTGTCGGTGTGATCGAAGCGTAAGAGCGTCTACTAAGTGACTGAAATGTCAACGAAAATGGGGTAACGTCAGTTGGACGTCCCAAGGACCTATCAGACAGTCATGAGCAAGTCATGGAAGCCAAGTAACGTTACCAGGCTACTGTCAATAAAATAGCATTATCTTGCTAATCTGGTCATCGTGGAATCATGCCTCAGGCAACCGCCATCATCGGCTAACATACAGTAACATACAGTAGCTAGCTAGGTCACCCCTCAAAGAGGTACAAATCTAGCTAGTCTAACGTTACTGTAGTACTATGCTGTCTTGTTCATATGTAGACATTTCCATACACAGGCTGCAGCCTTGGTAGAAGAGGAGACTCGCAGATACAGACCCACCAAGAACTATCTCAGTTATATGCCCACACCTGATTTCACTACCTTTGAAGTAAGTATCACTTACACAGTTCCGCATTCTATAAAAGAAAAACGCCATAAATGAAATGTACATAATGTCATGCCATTATATGATTATGGCTTTTGACTGACTCACTGTCAACTGTGTAATCTACAATGACATTATGTGAAGCAAATACTAATGCTTATATCACCCATCAGACTGAAATCATGAGGAACGAGTTTGAGAGGCTAGCAGCCCGGCAGCCTCTGGAACTTCTCAGCATGAAGAGGTAAACCCAGTCCACTCTTTTGCTCATAGCAAATGTTTAAAAAATATTGCTAACATTCAATCACCCATTCAGTTTTAACGTTATGCATTTAAACCCTCGTTGTCCTTAGTGTACAACCATCTGTTTATTTTTCAACTGTGCAGATACGAGCTTCCAGCTCCATCATCAGGGCAGAAGAATGACATCACTGCATGGCAGGACTGTGTGAACAACTCCATGGCTCAGCTGGAGCATCAGGCAGTACGCATTGAGAACCTGGAACTCATGGCACACTATGGCACCAACGCATGGAAGGTCTACAATGAGTGAGTCAGTGGCTGCTGCCTGTGCCCAGTAGAGCTCTTAATTTATCTTAGTGTCCAGGAAAGAGTCATGGAGGACAACTGAACTGATTTGACTTAACAAATGGGGCTCAATTCGTGATTTAATTGGACAGTAAAGAAGATCAGTATTTTTGTTTTACACATGCTTGTCCTGAAGGGTAAAGTATAGGTTCACAGAAACTTTTTGACATTGCCTTAATATTTATCATTATCTCCACTCTACAGTAACTTGGCCTTTATGATTGAATTGGCTCAAAAGGAACTACAGAAATGTAGGTAAGTGAATGGTGTGAAAACACTGCGTTACAATTTACAAGTCATGTATCACATTCCTCATGGTTAGCTTGTTTAGTAGTTGTTTTGGAAAGAATCTGACAAACTATGTCAACAAGCTTCTGCATAATGTCAACAAGCTTCTGCATAAATATATTTTAACAGCCTTTTCTGTTGTGTATGTCATTTATGCAGAAAGCAGATTCAGGACTTGAACTGGCAACGGAAGAATGATCAGCTTGCAGGCGGGGCCAAGCTGAGAGAGCTGGAGTCAAAGTCAGTTCTGTAAATGTTGTATTTTTCATTACTGTTCTCTCTTAAAAATGTGGTATGATTTTTAAATCCTTGCTATCTCTCTTGTAACAGTTGGGTGTCCCTCGTAAGTAAGAACTATGAGATTGAACGTGCCATCGTCCAGTTGGAGAATGAAGTTGGACAGCTCAAACAGCAGCAGGGTGACGAGAACAAGGAAAATATTAGACAGGACTTCTAGTACTCGAGCCTTGTGCAAGACACCTTCTACAAAAGAGGAAATGTTAAGCTTGCAGCTGAGAACCAACATGAAAAGAACAGGACTGTCACTCCAAACTTTCAGAAGAACCTATTTGCCTTGGCTCCACAGTTTCTTTACATTAGTCTCAGACAGTGACCATTGAAAAACCATTGGCCGTGTAAAGAGCATTTTCATTGTATCTCGAGATCACTTCAGAGGTGAACTCTAAACTCTGGTGTATTTTTAAATGCTTGTCAATTTAAGTAGTTCTAAAATGAGGTAGAGTTAAGCATAACTAATGATGCTGTCTACCAAATACAAATTTCTTCCCATATAGACAAGTACCTGTGCACAAAAACATGCTAGCATGTTATGAAGAAATTGTGATACAAAAAGTTTTCGTACATGTAATTGTTTTTTTTACACTTATAATAAAATGACGTGTGGAGACATGCGTGTTTGTTCATGGATTGGTTATGGGCCTACTGCCAACAGTACTACGAACAGATGGGCCCTGGTTCTTGCCTGTAAAAAGCCTGTCAGTGAATATTAAATATTACGTTAAATCAGAAGCGATAGAGCCCCACAGTGGAGGTGTCATGATACCCATAAAACCTAGCGGTCAAACGGAATTGGTTCCAATCGTTTTTCCACCTTTAATAACCATGTAAATCTCTCTCGGACAAGGTGACTTTTATCAATACATTTGGCTCTATTTACACTCAGATTCTAAAATGCTAATTAGCATCAAAGTAGACATGCAAAACTACAAATCCCAGCAAGCTCCTGCTCGTCATCGGTAGCTGACACCTTTGCTAACAGGTGTTGTGTAAATTTAAAACTTGCACAAGACAGTTCATAGAATTGTCCATTTAAAGAAATGTAGCCAATTTATTCATTACTCAATTTAGTTAATCCAGAGATTCTTACCTCTGCCTTGATTCAGCAGTCTTGTCCAGATTATCATGGCATTTGTAGTTCTTTATGATCGCCACATTAGCAGCTAATTAGTGTTTCATTTTGGGGGGGTAAATACAGGCGAATATATTGATAAAAGTCAACTTGTCCTAGAGAGGTTTACACGGTTATCAAAACGTCATGCCAGGGTAAGCCTACATGAAACACAGCCCTTATGTTAAGTGTTTCTAAAATCCCCTATGGGAAAATGAATGGTGGAAAAATTATTGGAACCATTTCCCTGTGACTGCTAAGTTTTATGGGTATTACGACTCATACTGTGGTACTCTATTGCAGAATTCCCTGCTGTCATATGACAATGAGTCAGGCCTAATATTTTTTTTGCATGACTAAACTAAGCAAATGCTACAATTCTTGTGTGTGAGATTAGATTTTTTATTTTAATCTTTCAAATGTTTTGGAAATGTAAAGCATTACTTTGATATTATCCAAACATGATCATATCATTTTTGTGTCCTACGAATTATTTTGGAACGTTTATACTCTGTTATTGACGAACATGGTCAAAGATTAAGACCGTAAATTACGTGATGACGTAGGCAACACGTTTTTTTACTCTGTACGTAGGACGTCCAGCCGGTTGCGGTTCAAAGAGGAAGGAAGATGGCGGACAACAAAGGCGAAGAGGATATGGAGAGTTCTTCCAAATTAGATTCAGAACCTCAGGGAGAGGATAGCGGAGACCCCGAATTGAAAGATGTGAATACGCTGATTGCCATAGAGACAAATTTGAAAGAAGGAGAGGATTCACAATCCCAGGAGAATGTTTCCCAGATGCCTAAACCCGCTAACGACGTCGTTAGCGGAGGAGGGGACGCTAGCAGCAACAGCGCGGGCACAGGGGAAGAAGGCAGCATTAGCAGTAACGTTAGCCCAGTTTGGAACACCAATGGGGCGACAACCGAATTGAAAAATGTGAATGCGGTGATTGTCACAGAGCCAAATTCGAAAGAAGGAGAGGATTCACAATCCCATGAGAATATTTCCCAGGTGCCTACACCCGCTAACATTAGCGGAGGAGGGGACGCTAGCAGCAACAGCGCGGGCGCAGGGGGAGAAGTCAGTACGAGCAGCAGCCCAGTTGGGAACACCAATGGGGGGACAACCGAGTCCTCGGCTGCTGGGGACACTGCTGGAACCTCACCAGCACTCACAACCGATATGTCCCCACCAGCCAACCCCGTCACCCCAATAAACCTCATGGATACGTGCGCTGTGTGTAAACAAAGTCTCCAGACCCGTGACTGTGAACCTAAACTCTTACCGTGTCTTCACTCATTTTGCTTGAAATGTATCCCCCAGCCAGAGCGACAAGTTACCGTACAGGTGCCCGGGCCGAACGGACAGCCAGACACCCACATAGGTGAGTGTAGCCTACTTTCAAGTGGGCATGGAATGCACAATTGCTAGCTACAGTGGTGTAGGCACCAAGTACCAGCAATTGTGTATAAACGTTGAGTACCATGCAGCTGCCAAATGGTCAGCAAGCATAATGACATGCTAAGTCGACTTGATGGCAAGTTTCAGGATAATATTGGTTTTCACTAATTACTAGCCGTCATATGGAGATAGATAGTAGCTATATATTACTCGCACTGTGACTCTTCTTACAATCACATTGGCCATAATCTAGTTGTGGTAATACAACATAGCATACTGAATAGTCAACAGCCCCTGGGCCTGATAGGCCAGTTATGGGCAATTCCATGGTAACACCGAGACTCAGATTTGTCACTTTAAAATGTATGTCAAACAAAAACCAATGATTGTAAAGTTAAATAATTCATACAACTCTATGCACAAGGCCTACTTAACAATTTCCTCTGAAAATGTTACAAAAACACATTTTACTTGAAGAGTGCATATGCAACATTTGGTAACAGAATGATGGTTTGTGCTGTTTGTGCCATCATTCTGTTAACATTACTTAACTTTGCATCTGCACTGCTCTTCAAGTAAATGTGCATAGAGTTGTATGGTTAGTTTATGCCAGAAGAGGATTCATATTGAATGTCACATGTGCCCCACAGCTAGATACAGAATATAATTATTCTCAGTTTCTCTTATCTGTAAAGAGCCTTGGCCTAGGACCCAAAATTCAGTTTCACCATCCGTGGGAAGTTTGTCCATCCACACAACATGATCGTTGCATGACATGTCAACTACAACATAATAGGTGTAGGTAGCCTCGAGGTTTAAGTGTTGGGCCAGTAACGGAAAGGTAGCTGGTTTGAATCGTGGAACCAACAAAGTTAAAAATCTGTCTGTGCCCGTGAGCAAGGCATTTAACCCTAATCAAGGGGAGTTGGGATATGCAAAAATACACATTTCCATGTCACACATGCGTGTACATGTGTGAAATAGGACAAATACAAGCACCCACCTAATTATTTTATATTTATCATACATATGCCTATAATGCCATTGACAAATCAAATGACAGATGAAACATGGTGCTCTTGGTTTCTGCTGAGAATAAATTATCTGCTTTCCAGCTATACTTATTTGTCATTTTGATGCTTTTCCCAGTTCCGATTCAATTCACCTACACAGTAATGTCCAAAGAAGTCAACTTTTTGCAGTTTGCTGTAATGATTAGTCCATGCCTATTTCTCCCTATGCAATATTTTGGATTACTATTTACTTTTACTCTATCAATGCTAAATTCTAGTAAACCAGATCTTGATACATTAACCCTAGGCTAACTACTGACATTCAAAACTCATTTACAGACATTTTATGGGTAAGTTATTAAAGCTTAGGTCTAGATAATGGGCAACCAAGAACACACAATTCCAGCATTATTTCTGGCATTAAATCAAGGTACAATGTTTCCCATTATAGTTGTGACCTTCTAGTGGTGGGGTGGAGTGGTGGTCATGTAGACAGACCATGTGGTAAGGCCATGGGGTGAACATGTCTGACCCCCAACCATTACGATACATTTGATAATGCCCAGGAACACTGCCCTTTCTGCTTGCCAGCACTCATTGCACTCAAATGCCATTATGACACATCGGCCTACACCTAGTCTGGTCCTCCTAGATCTGTTTGTGCGTATTGCAGCAAACCCCCTATGGTCATTGATGTGCCAAACTTTTGGCATTGACAATGACCATAGGGGTTGGCTGCAATACGCACAAACAGATATAGGAGGACCAGACTAGGTGTAGGCTGATGTGTCATAATTGCTTTTTTCAGAAGGCAATGAGTGCTGACGAGCAGAAAAGGCAGAAACAGATCTGGGACCAGGCTGCACCTAGCCAATTTATATTCAATGCCTATGGCAATTTGGCCATTGTGGTCAAAACTACCGAAGGGTTGTTCTTTTTTTCTGTTATGACCCACTTTGTCTTACCAACATGGCTAAGTTTCGATGAATTCGATGTAAAACATAAATACAAACTCCTAAATAAGAGCACCAAGTCTACAAAAAATAAAATTGCCACTTGGTTTGGTATAGACTACCTACAGCTGATGGTTTGGTATAGACCACCTACAGCTGATGGTTTGGTATAGACTACCTACAGCTGATGGTTTGGTATAGACTACCTACAGCTGATGGTTTGGTATAGACTATCTACTGCTGATGGATTGATTTGGGGAAATGTAAACACTCACATTTGAACTATTAATGCAAGGACTTGCAGTCCATGAGATCGATATCATGGTTTTAAACATATTTTGAAGCTACACATTGTTTATTTACAAAGACTGAAATGCTAAGAAAATCATAGGCCTAAATTAAGTATTAGGCCAATCATACAACGTTATATTTTGGTTTATTTGCCTTGCCCTCAAGGCGATTGTCTGAATGTGGCATCTGTTTTTAGATTCCATGTAGATATGTAGCTGTACAGCCTAACCATTAAACAAACATGTGGACTAATAGTACAAGATTGTCAGCGTCATACACATGTAGGCTATTCAAAAGGTCAGGCATGACAGGTGCAACAAAATTAGACTGTATATTTAATAAGTTGGCCGTCTTCTTAGTTTTCCCCTAGTCTGATTTTCTATGTTATTTTCAAACATTCATGCATGAAATTCTGCCTATTAGGTCATATAAATGGTATAATGTAACAATAACAGACCATGATTTTGAAAAATGTGAAATTGTATTTCGATACAGTTTGTGTGCAGTGCACTGCATGCATGTGTTTGCATGCGCCCTGATTTGCCTCAGTTCAAAGTGTCACAGCTGCAGTGGCAGATCAGTCTTGGTGGTGTGGTCTCCTAAACCCTTTCAGCTGCACTCACAGCCAATCACTCACAGCCCATTGCAGTTGGGGCTTACACAAACCGGCTGTGTGCAGCATGAGCTGGTATAGACTGGCTCAAACCGGATTGAGCTGGTTTGTGCTGCATCCAGTAATGTACACAGAAATTTAATTAATGGGTTTAAGGGAGTTGAGAGGAGTTAAGTTTGGGGGTGGAGCAGTTAAGGATTATGTATTCAACATTTAGCTTGCAGTTAAGGATTATATATTCAACATTAAGCTGAAGGGTTATGTATTTTCAACATATCATTGCCCACTTTTCATACAGCTCACATTTGCGTGTCTCATATGAGCATATCAATCTGTCATTATTCAGAAATCTTGAAAATAATTGGAAATATTGGGGTGAATCTGAATATGATAATTGAATGGATTTATATAATGAATTTATATTCCCAACCCTCAAAGGGGAACTGCCTCATCCACCACCAATGTGTAGCACCCACCTACTTAGGCCCTAAAATGAATTTCATAGTCCGCTATTATGGTACTTACTAATTCAGTTGTAGCATCTTTATTATTAATACGTTTAAGTACCAACGATTTGTAAACTGTGAACAACTGACATGGCTGATGTTTTTTAAACAAAGCTACCCAGAAATCAGTCTTCAGATTGTAGATGCAATCAAACTTTATAAAACTAATCTTCATCCCACCACATTTTTTTGTGGTAGTGACAAGTTGCCAAAAGTTTAAAATGAGTTGAACCAACTTGATGATTTGCATTCGTCTCTTTTCTACACAGGCCTTTTGAATAGCCTCTGACCTCTGTAGTATCTGTATGCGAACTATTAGCAAGAAAATAAACGTTTTTTTTGCTGATTTCAAATAATGTTTTCTTTGTCAATTTAACCCCTTAGGCCTAACCAGTGCTTCTATCTTGTGTCTTTCCTCTGTCTACTCTAGTGAATGTCATGCGGTGCATAGTTTGTTGTCAAGACTGCAAACAGAGTGACATCATTGACAACTACTTTGTCAAGGACACCACCGAGGCCTGCAAGACTTCAGATGAAAAATCTGCACAGGTATACCACAATTTAACTCTTATTCAATTCAGTTACATTCAAGTGGATGGTTAATGTAATTTTAAATTTTATTTTTATTTTTTATTTTTTATTTTTTTTAATTTTTAATTTTTTTGTCATTTAGCAGACGCTCTTATCCAGAGCGACTTACAGGAGAAATTAGGGTTAAGTGCCTTGCTCAAGGGCACATCGACAGATTTTTCACCTAGTCGGCTCGGGGATTAGAACCAGCGACCTTTCGGTTACTGGCACAACGCTCTTACCCACTAAGCTACCTGCCGCCCGTAATACAAACTCCCCCTTTATCAGCTGTTCGTAGCCTAAGTAGGTGTCTAAGTGGGGTTGTGTGTTTTGTCTCATTCAGATGTGCACCAGTTGTGAGGACAACGCAGATACCATTGGGTTCTGTGCAGAATGTGGAGAGTGGTTGTGCAAAACCTGCATCGAGGCTCACCAGAGGGTCAAAATCACCAAGGACCACAAAATCCGCAAGAAAGAGGACGTCTCTGAGGGTAAACTGTCCTACAAACCTAAACACAATATGTGATGGGTACCCTAGAATATCAAGTGACAATTTGACATAGCCAAGTTGGACGTGTAGGCCAGAGGTTTCTATTTGCAAGTAGAAGGCTCTGGTGTAGGCATTTGGTGACCCTTAGCATGGTGTAGTTTCCCCAGGCCTCCTAACTTCACAGCTGATTGGCTGTTGCTGTGACAACCATGCTGCATAATCAGTCTGAGTGCTCCAGTAGTAGTAGTAGATTGGCCCGGCTCATTCTCAGTATAGCTGACATGCAGTACTCTATACTTTATTCATTAATGTATTTCTCTTTCTTTGATTCTTTCTCTCACACTTTCTTTCACTCTTAAAAACAAATTTAAAAAGTTGTATTCTTTTGTCATTTCTCTCTCTCTATTTCATACTCTCTTTCCTTTGTTTTTCTCTTGTCTCTGTAGAGTCTGTAGGTGTGTCGGAACAGAGGCCTGTGTTCTGTCCCATCCACAAACAGGAGCCCCTGAAACTCTTCTGTGAAACCTGTGACACACTCACTTGCCGGGACTGCCAACTGCTGGAGCACAAGGAGCACAGGTAGGACATGCAGTAGTGCATAGACAACACATGATCTTTAGAATAGGAAATCAAAATCTGTAGTGAATTTTGGTCGGTAGTGGTGGTGGATGGTAATACGTTTGGTTTTGTGTTACATTCACACACATCCAGTGAGGATCGAGCACAAAGAGAAAAGCAGCAATCTAGTCCAGTGATCTAAGCCTTGGTGTTCTTTGCTGAACAGAGTTTCTCTTCTCTCAGGTACCAGTTTCTGGAGGAGGCCTTCCAGAACCAGAAAGGCATCATCGAGACGCACATGGTCAAACTGCAGGAGAAAAAGACCTACGTTCACTACTCTCACTCTCAGGTGACAAGCAGGTACAGCAGCATTCCCATCTCTACTGTGAACGTTGCTTGTTTGGAGACGTCATAGCTGCAGGGGGAACTTTCCCCCAGGTATAGATCTAGAATCATCTTCCCAAATCAAATCTTAACCATTAGTGGGGGAAATGCTAAACTGACCCAAGATCAGCGTCTAGGGGCCACTTCACCACCCTACAGTGATTTCATAAGGGCTTGTTTATGGGTTGAGAAGTAAAGTGCTCTTTTGTTGTTTACTAGTGTGTCTCTAGTTTGAGTGTCTCTGGGTGTGTCCCCGTTTCCATCCAGGATAAAGGAAGTTACTGATACCCATAAGAAGGTGGAACATGACATCAAGATAGCCGTGTTCACTCTTATCAACGAAATCAACAAGAAGGGCAAGTATTTACTGCAGCAGCTTGAGGTAAGGCCATCATGGAACCTATGCAAGGAATGCATTTGAACTTGTCCCTCAAAGCCTTTAGAATTCCCCAAATTACTTGAGTTAAAATCATTTATGCTCTCAGGCCCGTTTTCCTAGAGACAGATTATGCCTAGTCCTGGACTAAAACACACTTTCAATGGAGATTTTTAATCCAAGACTAGGTTTCGGGAAACCGGCCCTCAGTGTTTTGTCTAGGCCTATATATTGAGAAACATGAATACTAAAGAATCACTGAACTTAATTTGGCTCTTACATTGCCAGATGATGTGAAATTGTTTCTGTGACATTACTTGAATACTGTTTTAATTGAATAAAAAGGGTTAGGCTTTACCCTAATTACATAGGCGGATGGATGCCTGTTGGTAACGTTTCTCCCTACGGTTTGTCCCTTGGTCCTCCAGTGTGTGACTAAGGAGAGGAGCATGAAGCTGTTGTCCCAGCAGACAGACATCGCCAACCTGGCCAGGCAGATCCTCCACGTGCTCAACTTCACCCACTCTGCCATTAACAGCGGCAGCAGCACCGCCCTGCTTTACAGCAAGAGGCTGGTACGGAGAACAAATAAACATACACAAAAACACACTCAGGGAAAGGCTCACACACACAATCTATTCTCCACACAGAAAGGCCAAAGAGTGCACTATAATATGCAGAAGCTATAAGGGTTGCCCTATCCTAAATCGATCCTCTCTATAAACTATAGTGTCTAAAGTATCTGCAAACCAATAACATCCCAATATCTTAATATGTGTCTGTGCAGATCATCTACCAGCTGCGCAAGGTCCTGAAGGCTGGACTGGAACCAGTGCCTCAGGCTAACGGAGCTGTTCGCTTCTTCTGTGACCCCACATTCTGGGCCAAAAACGTGGTCAACCTAGGTGAGCGGATTTACTACTCTACATGCAGGGAAGTATGCAAGGACATCTGTTTCTGGCCACTGATGGTACAGTATAAAGCATTGCATAAAGCGGGAGATGTGCCCTACCTGCACACTGATGATAGTGCTTCCCAATGGTGACCACAAGATTGGCAGACTGTTTGGCATAGTTGCACAGTTTGGACTACGAGGATTAAATGTCTGTGCCTTTTTCTTTTTACGCTTGTATCCTTTGCATCATGGTAGGACAGCAGATTATTTGACACGGCAATGTCTAGGGGACTGGTATAGACTACTAACAGCTCAGCTGGTAGAGCACGGCGCTTGTAACGCCAAGGTAGTGGGTTCGATCCCCGGGACCACCCATACACAAAAAAAAAAATGTATGCACGCATGACTGTAAGTCGCTTTGGATAAAAGCGTCTGCTAAATGGCTTATTATTATTATTATTATTTTTACATACTCAGTCACTTACTTTAGCCTCTCCTCTCTCACCCTCCCACTGTAGGGAACCTGGTGATCGAGAAGATGCCCCAGGCTCAGCACCCTCCCAACATTATGGTGGGGCCCATCTCCCCGGGCCACGGCCACCCGGGCCACGGCAAAAGCCCGGGGCAGATCAACCTGGCCCAGCTCCGGCAGCAGCACATGCAGCAGCAAGCCTTCGCCCAGCAGAAACAACAGCAGCAGCAGCACCAACAGCAGCAGCAGCAGCAGCAGCAGCACCAACAGCAGCAGCAGCACCAGCAGCAGCACCAACAACAGCAGCAGCACCAACAACAGCACCAACAGAGGATCCAGGAACAGATGCGCATTGCCTCCCAAATGACCCAGCAGCACCCCAGGCAGGCTGTACCTCAGATGGTACAGCAGCAGGTAGACTGAGGAGGACTGAATGTCTTGATGTTTTTAGGGTACCATTGTTCCCATCGATAGCAGTGGTATAGTGGAGGGAAAACGCAGTTTACACACCTTTTTTTATTTTTCACAAGCATTTACCCACCTATTGCGGAAAAATGCATTGAAAATATAGGGAGTGTTAATTTACTCAACCCAAACTGTGATCAGCATTTACCCCCCACATAAAAAAAAAAAAACCAATACATCACTAATCAATAGTGCCTTACAGAAAATATTTCTGCAGTCATAACATAGTGGACCTATAATAGTACTGAATATTATGTGTTGCTCTAATGATTTTGCTAATGACAGTTGTATTTTGGGGTAAAAGTATAACTGTCTGTCCTCTGCTGTGTCTCTCCCTAGCCCCCGCGCCTCATCAGTATGCAGGCCCAGCAGAGGGGCCCCATGAACGGCGGGCCCCACATGTACCCCCCCCACCACCTGCGCCTGCCCCCGGGACAGGGCCGCATGCCCAGCCCCAGTGCCCAGCCACGCATGCCCAACGGCCAGCAGTACTCCCCCATGATGCAGCCTCAGCTGCAGAGACAGGTCAGACTACACCACTCGCATTATGTCCCTGAAGGGATCATTTTTTAAAATTGAATTGAGTTGAGGTATAGATACATTATTACTCCCCAAAAGGGAAATTGATCAGTCAACGCATCCAAAGATCATATCCATAAAATAATAACAAGAACAATCACATATAAACAATAGGACGGCAGGTTAGTGGTTAAGAGCATTGGGCCAGTAACCGAAAGGTCGCAGGTTTGAATCCCTGAGCCAACTAGGTGAAAAATCGGTTGATGTGCCTTTGAGCAAGGCACTTAACCCTAATTGCTCCTGTAAGTCGCTTTGGATAAGAGCGCCTGCTAAATGACTCAAATGTAATATGTTTTATGCATAAACCGGTATTACTGATTGGTGCAACTGTCACCATTTTGTAGTAGGATTTTCACTGTATGTATGGGTACCTTTTTGTGTTTAGATGACTGTAGATTCTGAGCTGAGCGACCACAGGTTTCGTTTGTTACATCTCACTGGGGTTTGGCACTTTTTCTACTTATACGTAAATGGTAGTTGTTAGGGCTGTGACGATATCAGTATCGCAATACTCGTTAGTATCGTGGCAAGGAAACAAAACACAAAGCGGATTGAACGTCTTAAGGAAAACAGCCCTAATGTTGGAAGCAAACATCATTATGTCGTCGTCCAGAGTCACATTTATTTATTGTCCAAGCAATAGCACACAATTTTACATACAGCAGGTTTTTAAAGGACCAAATAGTCTGCTTTGTGTTTTTGCCATGGAAAGAATATTGTGATATTGGTATCATCACAGTCCTAGTAGTCTTGTTGCATGGGCATGATTCGTGATTATGCTTCCAAAAATGACCTTTCAGCACGTTGTAGACCTGGTAGAATTAAACAACAATAAATATTCAATGCTGTTGCAAATCTCCAGTTTTTTACCTCCTTCTCTGTCCCTGTAGCATTCAAACCCAGGTCATGCTGGACCCTTCCCGGTGGCATCTCTCCACAACGTGAGCGCTGCCAACCCCACCAGTCCCACCAGTGCCAGCATGGCCAGCGCCCATGCCCACCGTGGCCCCGCCAGCCCCATAGTGGGCGCCATCGACCTCATCCCCTCCGTCACCAACCCAGAGAACCTGCCATGCCTACCAAACATCCCCCCCATTCAGGTGCACACAGCCCTCAGGGACCAGGCACATGTCACGCACCTCCAAATCTCACCATGCCTGCTTCCATTCTCATCCTTTCTCCTGGCCCCCACCCCTTTGCTTTTTGTAGATCTGAGGGGATTGGATAAGTATGAGTAATATGATGAATATTTAATGTATACTGAGCAAAATATAAACGCAACAATTTCAATGATTTTACTGAGTTACAGTTCATATAAGGAAATCAGTCAATTGAAATAAATTCATTAGGCCCTAATCTATGGATTTCACATGACTGGGCAGGGGCGCAGCCATGAGTGGGCCCACCCACTGGGGAGCAGGGCCCAGCCAATCAATTCGTTTTTTCCCCACAAAAGGTTTTTATTACAGACAGAAATACTCCTCAGTTTCATCAGCTGTCCGGTTGGCTGGTCTCAGACGATTCCGCAGGTGAAGAAGCTGGATGTGGAGGTCCTGGGCTGGCGTGGTTACACGTGGTTGTGAGGCCAGGTGGACATACTGCCAAATTCTCTAAAACGATGTTGGAGGCGGTTTATGGTAGAGAAATTAAGTAAATTATCTGGCAACAGCTCTAGTGGACATTCCTGCAGTCAGCATGCCAATTCCACGCTCCCTCAAAACTTGAGACATCTGTGGCATTGTTGTGTGACAAAACTGCACATTTTAGTGGCCTTTTATTGTCCCCAGCACAAGATGCACCTGTGTAAGGATCATGCTGTTTAATCAGCTTCTTGATATCCCACACCTTTCAGGTGGCTGGATTATCTTGGCAAAGGAGAAATGCTCACTAACAGGGATGTTAAAATATTTGTGGGATCTTTTTATTTCTGCTCATGAAACACTAAGTGTTGCGTTTATATTTTTGTATAGTATAGTTTCTGCCATATTGCTTAATACCTATCTGTGCTCATTGAAGGAGCTAGGGGAAGGGGGTAGGAAGCGGAACGGAACCTGGCTCAATTTAGATCAAATCAAATGTGGTGCTCATACATGGACATGGTGATACTTCATCAGAAATGTTCACAAGGTGAACTGAAAATGACCACTAATTCAGTGTTATTTTCCTGTGGCTGGATGCTTTGTGGCACCATTAGCTGGAAGACGCGGGCTCCAGCAGCCTGGACGCCCTCCTGAGTCGCTACATCTTAGCCAGCACATACCCTCAGCTGGGCCTGGGGCCCCCCGGGAACATGAACCTCTCCCACGGACCCTCCACACACTCCCCTGGCTCCTCAGGTACTGGAGGACGACTCTACTACAACGAGCACAAACACTTTCTTCACACACACAGCTTCAATCCAATCTATGATTTTAAAATCCTTTTCTCAAATCACTGTCATGGCTATCACGTTTTAAAGAAGAAAATTGTTTGTCTTACATGACTTCTATATTACTGCCTCATCCTTGCTCTCTGTCTGTCTCCCACCCGCAGGCTTATCAAACTCCCACACGCCTGTGCGGCCATCCAGTACGTCCAGCACAGGAAGCAGGGGCAGGTAATGACGACACACAGGCCAAGCACTAGACCTCTGCTCAAACACCAGGACTCTCACAGTACTTTGAGACAATGATGAGAAAATGACACTATTACATAAAACTGTGAAACATCCATAGGATGCGCAGAAGGTAGCATTGCATATACGGAACCATTGAGTAAGCTGAACAATGAATCTCACTGGCATACATAAATATACACTAGCAGTCAAAAGTTTGGACACAACTACTCATTCAAGGGTTTTCCTTTATTTTTTAAAATTCTTTACATTGTAAATTAGTAGTGAAGACATCAAAACGATGAAATAACACATATGGAATCATGTAGTAACCAAAAAAGTGTTAAACAAATCAACATCTATTTTATATTTGAGATTCTTCAAATAGCCACCCTTTGCCTTGATTACGGCTTTGCACACTCTTGGCATTCTCTCAACCAGCTTTACCTGGAATGCTTTTCCAACAGTGTTGAAGGAGGTCCCGCATATGCTGAGCACTTGTTGGCTGCTTTTCCTTCACTCTGCGGTCCGACGCATCCCAAACCATCTCAATTGGGTTAAGGTCGGGGGATTGTGGAGGCCAGGTCATCTGATGCAGCACTCGTCACTCTCCTTCTTGGTAAAATAGCCCTTACAAAGCCTGGAGGTGTGTTGGGTCATTGTCCTGTTGAAAAACAAATGATAGTCCCACTAAGCCCAAACCAGATGGGATGGTGTATCGCTGCAGAATGCTGTGGGAGCCATGCTGGTTAAGTGCCTTGAATTTTAAATAAATCACACTGTCAACAGCAAAGCACCCCCACACCATAACACCACCTCCTCCATGCTTTACGGTGGGAAATACACATGCGGAGATCATCCGTTCACCCACACCGCGTCTCACAAACACACAGCGGTTGGAACCAAAAATCGCAAATTTGGACTCCAGACCAAAGGACACATTTCCACCGGTCTAATGTCCATTGCTCGTGTTTCTTGGCCCAAGCAAGTCTCTTATTCTTACTGGTGTCCTTTAGTAGTGGTTTCTTTGCAGCAATTCGACCATGAAGGCCTGATTCACACAGTCTCCTCTGAACAGTTGATGTTGAAATGTGTCTGTTTGAACTCTGATGCATTTATTTGGGCTGCAATTTCTGAAGTTGGTAACAATAATGAACTTATCCTCTGCAGCAGAGCTAACTCTGGGTCTTCCATTCCTGTGGCGGTCCTCATGAGAGCCTGTTTCATTATAGTGCTTGATGGTTTTTGCGATTGCACTTGAACAAAGTTTCAAAGTTCTTGAAATGTTCCGTATTGACTGACCTTCATGTCTTAAAGTAACGATGGACTGTCGTTTCTCTTTGCTTATTTGAGCTGCTCTTGCCATAATATGGACTTGGTCTTTTACCAAATAGGGCTATCTTCTGTATACCCCCCTACCTTGTCACAACACAACTGATTGGCTCAAACGCATTAAGAAGGAAATAAATTCCACAAATTAACTTTTATGAAGGCACACCTGTTAATTGAAATGCATCCAAGGTGACTACCTCATGAAGCTGGTTGAGAGAATGCCAAGAGTGTGCAAAGCTCTCATTAAGGCAAAATGTTTAAAACTTTTTTGGTTACTACATGATTCCATATGTGTTATTTCATAGTTTTGATGTCTTCACTATTATTCTACAATGTAGAAAATAGTCAAAATAAAGAAAAACCCTTGAATGAGTAGGTATGTCCAAACTTATGACTGGTACTGTATGTATAACTGTGTAAGGGAGGTATTGACTGTGTCTGTGTGTGTGACAAGCTGTGGCTCTGCGGGTAGGCCAGGGCCAGCAAGCGCCCCAATGGAACAGCAGGTCAAAGTCAAGCAGGAGCCCGGAGCCGAGAAGGAGTGTGGTTTCTCGGGAACCTCCAACGTCAAAACGGAACGAGGGAAGGATGGAGGGAGGAGCGCGTGCATGGTAACACACCTAACTGCCCAGCTCTTTCAGCTCCTTTTAGCTTGTCTAGACCAAGATCTATATCTAGCAGGTATCTGTTGTCTGTTGAACACCAGAGGTTTTCGGCCTCACTTCTTGACGCTAAACCAGAATTCTCAATGTACTTAACCCACTTGAAAGGGTTCAGGTTTTTCTTTCCATGTGTGTTTGTCCCACAGATGAGTAGTCCAGAGAGCAGCCATACTCCCCCTCTCCCCATGTTGGGCTCTGTGGCTTCTGGTTCCTCTGTCCAGGACGTCCTCAAGAAGGTGGGGGAGTACGTCAAAACTGAGCCCCAGGACCAGGAGGCCTGCAGCGGGGCCAACAGGCCTGCGAACGCCCCTATCACCACCAGCATCACATCCACTGTGGCCTCAGCCACACTGCTGACCAACGGCAAGGGAGCCGCATCCGCTGCCCTGCGCTCTCCACGCACTGCGCAGGGGACCAACCAGAGCGGGGCAGGAGGGAAGGAGGACGACCCCAACGAGGACTGGTGTGCCGTGTGCAACAACGGGGGAGAGCTGCTTTGCTGCGACCGCTGCCCCAAAGTCTTCCACATCACCTGTCACATCCCCACCTTGAAGTGCTCCCCGAGGTGAGCCCCTGATGTGTGCACACAGGCTGGCGTTGACTACAGTAGATGTCAGAATGAGAATGAATTTCATTCATCTAGCACCATTCATTCAAAGCCTTTTACATTGGATGCTGATATCTTGCTACACATCAGCTATAATTTTCCCATGTCTATCTATGCCTATATATCTGGGTTATTGCTTCACATTTTCTTTCTGTGTTTCCCCTCTCAGTGGAGAGTGGATGTGCACGTTCTGCCGGAGCCTGGCCAGCCCGGAGATGGAGTACCAGCCTGACGACGAACCTCGTGGCGAAAAGGACAACAGTGAGCAGGGCCTGAGTCCTGAGGACCAGAGGGTCAGTGGAACCATGCACCTGTAATACCTAGAACACGCGTCAACCTCTTTCCACTGAGGGCTGAGTGTGTGCAGGTTTTCGCTCCTCCCTTGTACTTGATTGATGAATTAAGGTCACTGATTAGTAAGGAACTCTCCTCACCTGGTTGTCTAGGTCTTAATTGAAAGGAAAAACTAGCAGACACGAGGCCCTCCATTGAATGAGTTTGACACCCCTCACCTAGAATGTCTTTCCCTGCTTACAGTTGAAAGGAGTTTCCCATAGGATTAGTAGTTACTACTGCCACTGCCAATTCAATGCATGTGGTCCTCTGTAGCTCAGCTGGTAGAGCACGGCGCTTGTAACGCCAGGGTAGTGGGTTCGATCCCCGGGACCACCCATACACAAAAATGTATGCACCCATGACTGTAAGTCGCTTTGGATAAAAGCGTCTGCTAAATGGCATATTATTATTTCCACACTACGTATATCAGTGAATTTCCATTGACCAACTAAAACCCTGTTCCTGGAGCGCTACCGTCCTGTGCGTTTTCACTCCAACCTTAATTTAGCGCACCTGATTCTAATAATTAGCTGTTTGATAAGCTGAATCAGGTTAGTTACAACTGGGGTTGGAGCAAAAACCTACAGGAAGGTAGCTCTCCAGGAACAGGGTTGTAGAGCCCTACTTTAGATGCCCTCACATTTGAGGAGTGAATCAGTGTGAATCAAGTCAGTACAGCTCTCTTAGGTAGCATAGTGGTTAAGAGCGTTTGGCCAGTAACTGAAAGGTTGCTGGTTAGAATCCCAGAGCCGACTAGTTGAAGAATATGTCGGTGCACTTAACCCTAATTGCTCCTGTAAGTCGCTCTGGATAAGAGCTTCTGCTAAATGACTTAAATTTTAATTTTAAATGGAGTATGTGAGTTCCAGACAACTTGTATTTAGTATGTTTGTGGTCAAGAAGCCTGATGTGCTACTCCTGGCATTTTTATTTTCTGCGTTCAGACAGTGGGACACACATGCCTCAGTCTCTCTCTCTCTGCTTTTCTCTCTCCTAGCTGAGGAATGATAAGGACTTGTGTAATGTTCTCCTGAATAACCACAACCCCTTTCTCTCCCTGCAGAGGTGTGAGCGCCTCCTGCTGTATGTTTTCTGCCATGATCTCAGTGAGGGGTTCCAGGAGCCTGTCCCTCCCTCTGTAAGTATCACCAGCATGGAAAAGGCAATGCCACCTGCATTCTATCTGACCTTGATGGCCACATGTACTCTTTACCTCTACTGAGTACAGCTTCTAGGTTTCTTCCTTCTAGGGACTTTTTCCTGGCCACTGTGTTCTTGATTCTGCCATTGGTTTCTTTGGGTTCTTGGCCTGGGTTTCTGTAGAAGCACTTTGTGTCAACTGCTGATGTAAAAAGGGCTTTATAAATAAATTTGATTGATTGGTTTATTGACTCTGCCCTATACCCACAGCACCACATTACTTCATCATTGTGGCTATAACCATAATGTTCTGTATGTTAAATTAATGAACCAATATGGCTCTCAAATCACAGTGTTCCCCTCTCACCAGATCCCTAATTACTACAAGATCATCAAGAAGCCCATGGACTTGACCCTGGTGAAACAGAAGCTACAGTTGAAGCATGTCCAGCACTACCAGAGCTCGAAGGAGTTTGTCTCGGATGTGCGCCTGGTCTTCAGCAACTGTGCCAAGTACAACGAGGTGAGTGGGCATGACTTCCAGGCATGAGGCGATGGGGCTGACTTATAGTTGAATGGATGCAGGAGAACACATGCACACTAATACTGTATGCTGACAGTGGGAATACACTATTCAGAAGGTTGAGATCTTTGGCATGGACTTGTGCACCCACAGGGATTAACACTGGATGACTGGATGCAGTTACTGTGTACTCACACTAGACTGTTTGTTGTGAATGTGGTGTTGCAAAACTAATTTGCCGTTTTTCTAACCTGAATATTTTCATGGCCACTGTCTTTCTGGTCAGTTATTTTGTAAGTAGTGGGGTAGTCTGCTATCATAAGACTTCTTGATTTGTTTACTGAGGAGTTAACAAAACAAGCAAACCTATAAAATATTTACTATAATTGTCATTATTGCCACAATATATTAGTTCAGAGATTGTCATTCTAAATAAATTTCTTGTAGAGATGACCTTTTAAAAAGCTAATAGGTTCCTTTTTGTCTGTATTCATTATAGCTAACTGTTTCTATCAACAAAAATATAAACGCAGCAATTTCAAAGATTTTACTGAGTTAAACTTCATATAAGGAAATCAGTCAATTGAAAAAAAATCATTAGGCCCTAATCTATGGATTTCACATGGGCAGGGGTGCAGCCATGGGTGGGCCTGGGAGGGCATAGTCCCACCCACTGGGGAGCCAGGCCCAGCCAATCAAAATGAGTTTTTCCCCACATAAGGGCTTTATTACAGACAGAAATACTCCTCAGCCCCCCCCCCCCCCCCCCCCCCCTCAGACGATCCCACAGGTGAAGAAGCCGGATGTGGAGGTCCTGGGCTGGAGTGGTTACACGTGGTCTGGGGTTGTGAGGCATGTTGGACGTACTGTCAAATTCTCTAAAACGACGTTGGATGCAGTTTATGGTAGAGAAATGAACGTTTAATTCTCTGGCAACCGCTCTGGTGGACATTTCTGCAGTCAGCATGCCAATTGCACGCTCCCTCAACTTGAGACATCTTTGGCGTTGTGTGACAAAACTGCACATTTTAAAGTGGCCTTTTATTTGTCCCCAGCACAAGGTACACCTGTGTAATGATCATGCTGTTTATCAGCTTCTTGATATACTACCCCAGAATGGATTATCTTGGCAAAGGAGAAGTGCGCACTAACAGGGATATAAACAAATTTGTGCACAAAATTTGAGAGAAATAAGCTTTTTGTGCATATGGACAATTTCTGGGATTAGTTTTTTTCTGCTCATGAAACATGGGACCAACACTTTACATGTTGCGTTTATATTTTTATTCAGTTTAGTTTGTCATTGACTGTTCCACACAAGTCCTGGATCTTAAAGCAGAAGTTGCTTTTCTTTACAACCAAATGTTATAGAAGGGTCCAGACAACCAGCGATTTTAATTTCCTCATCCTCATTATGCAGTACGGGGGCTCTGAAAAAACATGAACAAATGCTCCAAAAACACCCACATGCGTACTTTTTGAAACAGAAAACGCTCTCAGTATATTGGTGTAGGTCTTTAGATGTTGTACACATGAAATTGTGTCATTCCGAACTTTATCCACAGCATTATATTCAATTTTGTGCGACTCGAGCCGTTTCCCCTATCCAGCTGTTCCATTCTCAGTGTAGCATGCTGCTATAGGTAACTGCCATAATAAAGGAAACGCCAACATTGTCTTAATAGGGTGTTGAGCCACCAGAACAGCTTCAATACGCCTTGGCATAGATTCTACAAGTGTCTGGAACTTCCTGTGTGGAAGCACCTGCTTTCAATATACTTTATACCCCTCATTTAGTGTTTCCTTTACTTTGGCAGTTACCTGTAGAATGGACGTAGCGGTCGAGTCGCAACAAAATGGAATATAACGTGGTGGATAAAGTTTGGATTTGCCACAATTTCATGTGTACGACATGGAAAGACCGGCATCACTATACTAATAGCTTTTCTGTTTCTAAAATGACTCATTTGGGTGTTTTTGGAGCCTTCATGTTTTTCAGAGCCCCCTTACTGCACAACGAGGATAAGGAAATGAATCGCTGGTTGGTGGTAAGTTTCTCAAAGAAGTGAAATCGTAAAAAAAGGGGTCTGGTATCTTTTTAAGACGCTGGTGTAAAGAAAAAGAAGCTAAATACTCCTTTAGTGTAATAATGAATAGTTTCAATCTGATACTAACCCAAATACTTTAACCTTTCGAATGCAAAAGAGTTGTCCCATGTGTGTGGGATCTTCGTCTTTGGCTTTGGAAGTCGAAATGTGCCGATGTCCGAATTGGACCTTTGATATAGTGTCGAACATGTTTTCAAGTGATGTGTTTAGGGGGGAAAGTAATTTACAAAGTGGTTGGTTTTCAACATTGATTTGAAATGGAACAGAGGGGAACAATATGATACCTTACATTGAGAAAATCAATGAGGAACTTAGTTGTGGTGGTGACGTTAAAAGGTTTCCTATTGGTTGAAGTTGACATAGTCAGTGGTCCAGCTCAATGTGCCATATATGCTACATATGCATAAGTTACGATTTCCAAGGACACTTACTAGGTATCAGTGAATGAACTGTCAGTGTCAAGGACAGTAAATCAAGCTAAACAATTTAGCAGGGAGAGGAAGTGAAAGCTGTCACTCCCAGGAATACGCCAGGACCCACGGCAATGCCATGGATGCTGTTCAGAATTCTCTCAGCAGGCAGAAGCAGCCAGGTAAAGACTGACCATAGACTAGACTAGTTGGGAAATGTAATGACAAGATTTACCCAATGTCTGTAAGCTGCAACCTCAGTAAGTGATACAGGAAGTGAAACGAGGATATGGAGGGTGACAATGACACAAACCATATTTGGACACAAGTTCACTAAGGGGTGTATATTCCTTAGGCCCAAAGACCTAGGGTAGTGACAGTACACATGGTTGTTACCTATAACCTGTCTGTACTGTGAAATCCCCCTCCCCCTTCTGCTTTTTTTGTATTTTATTGTACTGTTATCGCCCCTTTTTAGATGTCTCGAATAATCCAGGTTTATGATGAGGAGAAACAGAGTAATGTGCAGGTAAGCTGTTTCTAATACACATGGAGGGGAAAGGTTCGGCTGCCCACCCTGCCACTAGGAATGTTAACCCGCTAATGTACTCCTCCCTCTCCCCTCCCATTCCTTACCCATTCATCCCTCCTGTTCAATGGTACCCTCACATCCCACCCTCCCCTTCCTCATACTCTCCCCCTCTTTCCTTTCCTCCCTCCCTCCCTCCCGGCAGGCGGACTCAGAGGTGGCGGAGGCAGGGAAATCTGTGAGTTTGTACTTTGAGGAGAGGCTGCTGGAGCTCTACCCAGGTGAGAGTTTCCCCGAGGTACCAGAGGAGGCCGAGGTACCAGAGGTACCTGAGGAGCCCCAGGCCCCAGCTGGAGAGGGGGAGGAAGCGGATCTCACAGAAGACTCCGAGGATGAGTTTGTGCAGCCTAAACGCAAGCGGTTAAAAACGGATGAAAAGCCGATGCACATCAAGTGAGAATCATTGTGTTAAGAGGAAAAGAAAAGGTCAAGAGAAGTGAAAGGATTGTCTTCCTCATCTCACGTTTTTTGCTTTTTTCCCTTTTAAGGCCACATACGTAAAATGCAGGACCTATTGTACAAATGTACAGGTTTATTTCATCCTTTTCCTCTTTTAAAGAGTTATTGTAAAATAGAAATTAAATCAATCTGTGTATCCGGCAAACTGGACATTTTAAAAGACACCTCCATTTCCTCTTCTGTGGCAATTTAGGGATGTTTAAGAAAGTGCTTGTACAGATTTTAAAGTATGATTTTGTTTGCAGTAGTTAAATGAATGAGTCATTTTTTTCTATTATCATTTATAATGTTTGTAAATCTATTGTGAAACATGCTTTATAAAGTATCTGAAACTCCCATTTCCCCTAATCTTGATGTACTATAAAGTTTGACATGAATTACCTACCAAGTATTTGTATTGTGTGTTTGTTAAAATATTTTACCGGCTGTAAATAAGAGGACCCAAATGAGGAAAAACCAGTGACTTGTTTGATCTTTCATCAATAAATAAAAGATGTTCGTCAAATATTTCCTGTAAATAGTGTTGATGTCAATGTTGCAAGACAAGACTTCATTTCAGGCTCTGAGAAGAAAATACGTTTTAAAGGTAAACTGCCCCTTAGGCCGTTTAAAACCAGAGAAGTTAGTTCTATGTGGCATCGATATGAGTCAAACTTTTACTACAAAGAGTAAATGGGATAATTTTGGTAATGAAGTCGGTCTTGTCCAAAACTGAGTTTTGTGAGTTTGTCACCATTTACTGGAGGGTGTATGGATTACTTGCATGCCCACTTTTGCCAATGATGGCCAATATCCCAGATATAGCAGGTTGTGGTCCGCCCCCAACTGCCATGTAGACATTTGTCAAATCAGCATATGGGTGCACAGGCTGAGCTGCATTATTTGCACTGGAGCCTTTAGTGGTATGCAACCCGTAGAATAGCTGGAAAATAGCACGTGCTTCAGGCAGAAATGTGGATGCAGCGAACATCAGATGTACAATATACTACAGAGATGTTTTAAATATCATTATTACGAAATTGGATAATGTTATTAGGAAATAAATAACTCCTTACTAAATAACACCTTATCTCGTTATTATGAGAAAGGTGACGTTATAACGACAAAAATGTTATTACGAAATAATCCAGTTGTATGTTATGAGAAATAGCCTTTATTATGCTGAAACGTTAGCAAAGGCTCCTTGGCAAGCTTGGTTTCCTCTCATGCACAGGTTGACATGTCAACTTGTATTTTCTCCTCGGTTTGAGGCATTGGGAGATAGTGTCATTGAGCAAAATAGATGGTGTTGTCATTAGTTTACCAACATTGTGGAGAAATCTGAGCTCTATGGCTGTACGGCTGATGGGGAAAAAAATCGGACCTCGACGTTATTACTTCTGTCATGTATACAAACTAATGCATCCAAACAGGTGGTGACCCAAAACAGTTAGGCATTTACTTCATATTCTGGGCAGAAGTCTCTGGAAAGGAGATTAGCTAGCTACTTTCACAACCAAGAGGACATAGAGGAACAGTTTAGGCAAGTGTACTTTTTGTCTTGTAATTTCACATTTGGAAGGTGCATTGAAACTATTTGGTCTATCTAGCACAATCAGCTAGTTAGTTGACAAACTATATCTGAATGATGCACTGAAATTAGCTACTCTCAAGGGGATAGTGCACTGAAATGAGCTATTCTCAAAAACAAGCACTATGCTAGGGCAACAAGTGAGTAAGAATGTCGGATGTCCCAACTCAGGCCTTTCCTATACGCCAAACGTACTTTAAAAAAAGTATATATATATATTGTAGCGACCCGCACAGACAGCTGTGTGTTATGTGTTAGGCTAGTAGATGGTTGTGTTGTACCTAACAGTACCCAGTGTTCGCGGGGTCCAACATGTCAATCAACCTGCTATCTGCCAATCACGGGAATGCCTGGAATGTTCTGATGCCGGGCATCCTGGCGGTTGGCGGAGTGGCGTGGAGGGGGGTTGGGCAGGGGGATGGAGCATTGGAAGTTAAGACCAGGTTTAGCCTTTGTTCTCTCTCTCTTTACGTCTGGGCTTCACAAGAGAAGGTCACGATTGGCTTGTGGGTTATCTTTCATTTATTTGGAGTGGGCTACGGCCAAACAGTAGCCTGTGTAAAGTTGGTTTAATAAACCGTCCATTCGTAAACTCAATCCTCTGTCTGGACAGTTGTTCTTTTATGATCTAGTCAGGACATCACAATATATTCTGAAGAACAAGCAAGCCCCTATCTGAGAAGCATTTCCGACTGATCGAGCGTACTCAATGAGCGTAGATTTAATCAAAAGTGAATTAGTGGCTTGGAAATACTACATTGCAAAAGGAGTTAAATAATTAGTAGGAAACCCTTTAGTCAGCATTTGGATGTCGTCAGATTGACTTTAGATGCGGTATAACATTAGCTAGCTAAGATTGAGGGGACACCAACTCAGATTTAAGCTAGCTACCGTTATTGCTGGCTATTTTTGACGAACTTTGTTAGCTAATGACATTGCCATCCATATGAAGACATGATAATGATGGCAAAGTTGTTTTCTACTAAACATTTGCCTACTTTAGCAATGTCATATTTCCAGGCCACTATAATTGTTGTTCGCCTCCATCGATCACGAGTTTTGGGCACAGCTATGCCAAAGATTTTTTATAACTAAACCAAGAGAGACCACAGCCTGTCATTTCTAATGGGAACAAAGTAGTCATAGTGGGCAGAACAAGCAAGGATGTGGACAGAGCCAAGCACGAGCTAGCGAGATCCTAGCCCGTTCTAGCATACATCTGCATATTTCCGTTAGGGAACGCCTACTCTGTGAAGTGCGCGTGTGCAATAACTCAATTCGCCTTTGCACTCCTTCTAAACAACGCAATTTTTACAACTTTGGCAAAGGTTAAAGTCTACAAAAAGGAGTCCACTCTGTTCATAACAGATTCTAGTTTTGGGAACCGAAAACTGTATTGAGATCAAATGTTTAATCGATGAGAAAATCTGCAGAATGTTGGCCAAAATCCATCTCGTTTCATCTTCTCCCACTGCCGGCCATATTTGGTAGTGAGTGGAAACGCCTAGCAGATGCTATACATGTATACATCCGGTGAAATATCTGTCTCATTGTTTTATCTGTGCCTATGCGTCTTGAGAACGTGCATAACAATGGTGAAGTTATTTTTGCATGGCCCGGTGCTCCCCGGTTGAGCGGAGTTTGTATTTAATTCCATTCCATTAGTCCTGAAGTTAAATCTCCACCAACCCGGGGCACCGGGCCATGCAAAACTAACTCCACCAATTGCATGACGCGAACCAGTGACGGAGGTGCAACCTATGAAAAGCTAAATGTGTTTTGCATTTGTCCAGCTGAGTGTGTTTCTTGGAGTTCCAGATATCGCTGGAGGAGTCGTGGTGGCCACTGGAGGGCAACTTTACTGGAGCTCATCTTCATGAAGTTAATCTACAACAGTTGATACAAGTATCATATATTAGGTAATACAGGGCTAGCTAGTACAAGTACATATGGATTTACAGTATGAATCATATTTAATTAATGTACAGGTTCCACTTTGGCCCAAGAGAACAATCCAGACTAAGAATTTGCAAAAGGTAAGATCATAATAAATACTAGTATTATATGGGCAGAGTGGACCTGATCCTAGATCAGTAATCCTACTCTGATGGCAAATTCTCTCTCTCCCTCATTCCTTCTATAACTTCAGATTGACCCCCTGGTTAATGATTAGTAGATGTGGGTGAGTGGACATACAGATCTGGGACTAGCCTGGCAGCAGCTCTTCTCAACTATTGGCAAGGATTTATTTGACATCCAATCACCATGAGAGATGCTTTATTCTGCATTCAACACTTCTATTGCAGGAGAGGTGAGCACCTATCAGATCCTCCTGCTGTCCTTCACCCCTTGGTGCAGTCTGCTGACCATCGCTAATGCCAGGAAGAACTCCACCAACCGAAGTAGGAGCCATGTTCATCGCCATGCAACGTTCTACTGACCGAGATAGACTATGCTTTGAATAGCAACTGACTGACAGGCAGTCAGAGACACACACACACTCACATTTGACTTGACCTTATATTGACAGCACTCAACTCACAGGTACCCACCTCTCCCTTCCCTTCCCATCCCATCCCATCCCATTAATCTCCCTTTCTCCACCTTAGGTGCCACGTTGTCTCCCATCTCCTTTATAGTGGCCACAACTACACCCTACCGTATAACCTCTTGGTCTAGCCAGGTGAATGAAGAGCTTCACCAGAGATGGAAGAGGAAGTGAGAGATCCCACTCCCTAATTTGTTCTGTTTCAATTTAAGTCAATTAACTAAGTAGACCAGACCCAACTGCTATCGCATTGGGTGTCTATGGGAGAGCCACCCCCTTAAGTACAGTCGTGGTCAAAAGTTTTGAGAATGACACAAATACTGATTTTCACAAAGTCTGCTGCCTCAGTTTTGATGATGGCAATTTGCATATACTCCAGAATGTCATGAAGAGTGATCAGATGAATTGCAAAGTCCCTCTTTGCCAAAAAAAACATTTCCACTGCATTTCAGCCCTGCCACAAAAGGACTAGCTGCCATCATGTCAGTGATTCTCTCGTTAACACAGGTGAGAGTGTTGACGAGGACAAGGCTGGAGATCACTCTGTCATGCTGATTGAGTTAGAATAACAGACTGGAAGCTTTAAAAGGAGGGTGGTGCTTGAAATCATTGTTCTTCCTCTGTTAACCATGGTTACCTGCAAGGAAACACATGCCGTCATCATTTCTTTGCACAAAAAGGGCTACACAGGCAAGGATATTGCTGCTAGTAAGATTGCACCTAAATCAACCATTTTTCGGATCATCAAGAACTTCAAGGAGAGAGGTTCAATTGTTGTGAAGAAGGCGTCAGGGCGTTCAAGAAAGTCCAGCAAGCGCCAGGACCGTCTCCTAAAGTTGATTCAGCTGCGGGATCGGGGCACCACCAGTGCAGAGCTTGCTCAGGAATGGCAGCAGGCAGGTGTGAGTGCATCTGCACGCACAGTGAGGCGAAGACTTTGAGGATGGCCTGGTGTCAAGAAGGGCAGCAAAGAAGCCACTTCTCTCCAGGAAAAACATCAGGGACAGACTGATATTCTGCAAAAGGTACAGGGATTGGACAGCTGAGGACTGGGGTAAAGACATTTTCTCTGATGAACCCTTTCCGATTGTTTGGGGCATCCGGAAAACACCTTGTCTGGATAAGATAAGGTGAGCGCTACCATCAGTCCTGTGTCATGCCAACAGTAAAGCATCCTGAGACCATTCATGTGTGGGGTTGCTTCTCAGCCAAGGGAGTGGGCTCACTCACAATTTTGCCTAAGAACACAGCCATGAAAAAAGAATGGTACCAACACATCCTCCGAGAGCAACTTCTCCCAACCATCCAAGAACAGTTTGGTGACGACCAATGCCTTTTCCAGTATCATGGAGCACCTTGCCATAAGGCAAAAGTGATAACTAAGTGGCT